TGTAAAGTGTAATTATATTTTATGATTGTTAACGATCGATGTAAGGTGTAATTATATTTTATGATTGTTAACGATTGATGTAAAGTGTAATTATATTTTATGATTGTTAACGATCATTGTAAATAGTTGTATATAATATAAAGTCATAGTTGTAAATACCAAGAGAATATGATTGTATATAAATTATGTTGAATTGCATTAGAAAATATGAAGCGTTTAACGCTATACTTATAAAATTGATTTTGATGTGAAACAACATTGTAAAATTGCAAAAGTTGATCTAAAATAAGAATCCCAACTAGTTCGCAAACTTCCACACAATCATACGTGGTAACATCAAATAATCCTGCTTTTTTCTTAATCCATGATATGCCACCATTAAAAATGAAAGATTTTCTTGCATGACGTAAAATGTATTTGCTTTGCTTGTCTATTATTATATGTTGTTCAGCAAAAGTATTTGCATTATTGAGTATGTTTTCATCAATTGATGGATAAAAATCATTTATGTCAAATACTAAAAATTTACAAAGATGTTTATCATCAATTTTACAGGACCAGTTTATTTTATTCTGCGTATTTTGCCATTGGTTTAAACAGAGCCTAGTTTTTAATTCCGAGTTGATATTGGATAAAATAAACTTTGACAGTCTTTTATTGGATAAAATAAACTTTGACTGCAGTTCCGTTTATCTCGATTCTATTAAAAATATTATGATTTGTTAAAGTTTGCTTACTTTCTTATTTACTACGTCTTTTAGTTTTGGATTGACCTTTTTATAAATAATGACACTGAGTTATCTTAGGAAGTATGAGAATTAAAAGAAAACGATTTTACATCTTCAATCAAATGAAAATGGTAGTTTGTAATTTTTAAACGGTTTTTATATTTTTGATTTTGTACTTCATGGCTGATGATTGCCAATAGGCATTACACTTTAAGTTTCATTAAAAGTTGTTTTTTCTAAACTTAAGTATAAAACGCTCTGTTTTTGAAAAAATATATATTTCTTAAATATTGAGCACTCTACTACGATAAAGAGTTGAGTATTTTTAATACTAAATCATACAACAAAACAGGTGAATCACCTGTTTAAAACTTGGCAGATGATGCGGGCAATAAGCATTTTTGCCAACTATTTTGATATTAAGAAAAAAAATCTCATAAAATAAAATAGACTATGTTTTAAAAATAATATTTTAGGTTTTACCCTAAAAAATAGGGTTATGCGGAAATAAAAACAAATTTATGCAGAAATATAAATTATATTATACGGAAATTTAAACTTTTTTAATATAAATATTTTTATACAATAATATACGTCTTTAAATATGAATATAAATTTTCATTCATTATTTGCATTTATGTCATAATTTATTTATTTTTTTAGTTTCTATTTTGATTTCACATTTTCTTATTTATATTTTCTTATTTTAATTTATATTTCTGCATAAATTTGCTTATATTTCCGCATAAATTTGTTTATACTTCTGCATAAACTGTTACATATTTAATATGTTACAGTTTATGCAGACTTTATGGATATTTAAACAAAGTTAAAAACCTCAGCAACTTTTACGAATACATATTTTTATAAACAGTTTAGCATTTTTAAACATCTTACTAACGGTCCGGAAAAAACGCGCGTTCACTTTAAAATCAACCATAAAAACACTGGTAATTTACTTCTTAGGAGAAATCTATATTAAAAGGGGAGGGGGGGGAGGCTATAAACTTAAATTTTGTTTTATTATTTAATCAATTAAATCATAATAAAAGTAAAGACAAAAAAATATATTTCTAAATATACTTCTTTATAACTAAAACTTATTAAATTGAACACCTCTGTTTTTAGTTTTAAGTAAATGTCAGTACTACTCTCAGTGGCGAAACTGCGGGGAGGGGGGCTTTGGTTAACAGACAAAAAGTGTCCTGATTTTAATTTAATTTTAGGTTGCATGGGCGATATGGGGCTGATTTTGAAAATCGTGTTATTTGTTTATAACAAGTCACTTGTTATAAACAAAAAACTATATCTCAAGACAAAAATTCAGTGAAAATTGGCCTTAAAATTAAAAAAAATATATATTGGTAACCAATAAATAATAAAACTTTCATTTCATAAATCCTCTCGCTTTTTTTTATTATTTACTCCTCCCATTTTATATATCCTGACTAAAATTCCCACCCTCACCTACCTATGTATAAAGCACATTAGAGTAGTCAGTAGCAAAATTCCCCCCCTCCTCCGCACGATTTTTAAAATAAGCCCCACATCGCCCATGCAACCTAAAATTAGCTTAAAAATAGGACACTTTTTGTCTGCTACCCCCCTTCCCTCTGCAGTTTCGCCACTGAGAGTAGCACTGACATTTACTTAAACTAAAAACAGAGGTGTTCAATTTAATAAATTTTAGTTATAAAGAAGTATATTTAGAAATATATTTTTTTGTCTTTACTTTTATTATGATTTAAATGATTAAATAATAAAACAAAATTTAAGTTTATAGCCTCCTCCCCTCCCCTCCCCTTTTAATATAGATTTCTCCTAAGAAGTAAATTATCAGTGTTTTCACTGGATGATTTTAAAGTGAACGCGCGTTTTTTCCGGACCGTTAGTAAGATGTTTAGAAATGCTAAACTGTTTATAAAAATATGTATTCGTAAAAGTTGCTAAGGTTTTTAACAATGTTTAAATATCCATTGTATTTTTTCAAGATGCATTACTACTTTAATTAAAGTTTGGAATTACTTAATTAAATCATTTTTATTTATAATATCTTGATTATGTGTTGTTTGATCAAACAATAAACTATAAATGCAACATAAAAGAGTGTTATAAAAGTAAAAACACTGTAGTATTATTACTTTTGTAGTCATAAATTTATTGTTTTATTTTTCATAACATTTTCACTAACAAATTAAATTTATTCGCCTATTCCGTAAATTTCGTGGTGTTCCTTAAATTAAAACTTTGAAGACCAGATAATTTAACAGATATCGCAAATCGCGATGCGTTAATTCAACCCTTGTATATATATATATATATATATATATATATTTATATATATATATATATATATATATATATATATATATATATATATATATATATATGTATATATATAAATATATATATATGTGTATACATACATATATATATATACACATATATATATTTATATATATACATATATATATATATATATATATATATATATATACATATATATATATATATATATATATATATATATATATATATATATATATATATTTATATATATAAATATATATATGTGTATACATACATATATATATATATATATATATATATATATATATATATATATATATATATATATATATATATATATATATATATATATATATATATATGTATAAATATATATATATATATATATATATATATATATATATATATATATATATATATATATATATATATATATATATATAATCCTTAGAATTAGGGTCAGCAAAAAATCAAAAAGTTTGAGGTCGGTAAAAAATTGTTGCTCTCTTCTCTCCTCACTGACCATTTTTTATGTTAACCCCTTTGTGTCAAATTTTTTTTGCTGACCTCTCACAGTTTAAGTCGGTAATTTATTGTGTATGTCAGGACTTGGTCAGGAAGGCGTGCGATTGCCATTATATGACTGAATCTAGCACTTTTCACTGAATCTAGGTCTTGACTATAATTACTTGATGATAATGTATATGTGTAATTATTTAGGTTAGATCTACATTTTTTTTTCAGGCATGGGTTTAATAATACCCAGCTTATCAAGATCCTTACACTTTGGTAAAACTGTTCAAATGTTGTCAATATGTTTTTATGTATTTAATTGGCTAAAGAATTGGGATTGTGAGGTTTTTTTTGTCAATTGACATCAGTCACATTAATGAAATTGGTACATCACATTTCAAAATTTCTAATTATCTACTGTATGTAGTATAATGATAACTTGAAATGTAGTTGTTGAATTACCCTTAAAATTGTTGTTTTTAACTTTTTGTTAAATCAATCAGAATTTTTTGATTTAAAAAAAATTTGAATTTTTTATAATATAAAAAAATTTTAACATTTTTAATATTAACACTTTTTAACATTTTTACCCACTTTAAATTGATATTACTTATTTAGTAGTATTCAAAAACTTTAATCAATACAATTTTTTTTTAAAAAGTAGTCAAGATACTTTAAAAATCCTTAAAGTAGTTTAAGCATGCAAAATTCTTTTGCTGAGATAAAGACACCTAGAAGAAGGAAAATTGATAAGGGTAAGGTTAGGAGGGGCTTTTAAATTTTTGAATAATAATCTTTCTAGTGGTATTATTACAATGAAAATGGAATCATGGAAACCTGTCTTAACTAAACAATTGTGGAGCCATTGGTGTTAAACTAAGGCTATGACTAGGTTTAGAAAAAAGTTTCAATATAGCCAGGACTGCAGTAGGTTGCTAGTTTTTGTTTTTATTATTTTCAGTTTGAACCATTAACAGCAGGTTATTTTTTACTTTAATTTTTTTATTTAGGCTTATATTTATTTATTCATTTTATACTTATTTTAAAAATAATACACTACTAATATATTTATGTTTTTTAATGTCCTAATTTTTACCTTATTATGATTCTTATTCATATTTGTTTTAACATTTGTTATATGTTGCCACCATACCAAGCCATTGTTTAGGCAATACTGTTTAAACAATCTAGTAATTCTTTTTCTTTCCTCCCCCTCTCCCACTTTTTTTCTTCATAAAAGTTCATGGTTTTTTAAGAAAAATGAGGAGAAAGGAGGAGTCTTTTCTAAAGAACTATTATCATTTGTTCTGCAAGCCGCAATCCATTCTCAGGTGACAGGTGACTGACAATGAGCAGTGATTTTTTCATTGATCATTTTCTAAAACTTAGCAAGATATATATTATATATTATGATAGTATTAAAGAGTTATATGCTTTATGAATTTGTAGGCCAAACGAAAATCTGACAATCAGTTAGCAGCAGCAAAAATTGTAGATATTAAAGATGAATCTGAACTGGAAGATTTTATGGTTGAAATAGATATTCTTTCAGAATGCAAACACAAGTATGTTGTGGACTTAATGGAAACCTACTTTCATGACGGAAAATTATGGGTAATAATTAGTTGAAGTTGTATTTTGTTAAATATTTTAAAAATTTTAACAACTCTAAATCAAAAGTAGTTCAAAAATAAGTTATAAAAAATTTTTTTTGTTTAGATGATGTTAGAATTTTGCTCTGGTGGTGCAATGGATGACATTATATTAGGTAAGTGATCGTTTTTTTATGATCATTAGTTTATTTGTTGCTAAATAAATTTGCTAAAGAGATTTAATGTAGTATATTTTGCAAGGTACAATATGTGATATAAAATTCAGATAGGTAACAAATAAAAATTGAAACCAATCACTTTTCTCCTAGTAAACTATTTGAGGAGGTCATAAAGAACTATTTGAGGAGGTCATACAGAGCCACTTGAAGATGTGTCATACAAAACCACTTGAGGATGTGTCATACAAAACCACTTGAGGATGTGTCATACAAAACCACTTGAGGATGTGCCATACAAAGCTACTTGAGGAGATTAAACAAAAGACTATTTTTACTGCTGCACATCAAACTCACTAGTTAACTAGGCTCGACATAAAAAATTTCATTATAGAAGATTTCATTCAAACAGAATGCATGTCAAATTTTCCAGAAAATAAAAACATTCTAGAGTTATTACCTGTATTATTTACAGAAGCCAGGTATTCCAGCTTATCTTAACTGACTTATTAAGAGATTGACAAAAGTCTCTATAAGCATGTAATATTAAATTTAAACAGCTGAGATACAAGTTTATCAAAATTAACTAAAAATAAAGGGTGGCAAGAGAAAATAGTTTTTTTTTTTGTTCTTTTGTTGTATTGAAGTATAAATTTTATATTATTTATAATTTTTAACGAAACTTGGAATTTTTAATGAAGATAATTCTTATAATATATTAATAATTATAGTTACCAGGCCTTGGCAGGAGTAAATAAATGCGAGAGCAAAGAAAAGCTCTCCTAAAACAAACATGACAAATCATGCGATGCTCCTATAAACTGCTTTTTACTAGAGCTTTCGGTTTTTGCGCAAGCTACCTGTTTATTCATTAAATAAATTGCTTATTAAAAACAAAATTTGATTTTGCTCTTGTTACAAGCATAGGCTTGTAATGTCGACTAGTGTTGTTTATCGCACCTTAAAAAAATTCCTAAGATAAGCAATTTATTTGGGTTTATTTATTAAAACTTTACTTATTTGATAAAAAATTTTACAAACTTATAGCTATAAAAGTTTTTACTGCTTTTAAAAAATATTCTATATTTTCTTATTCTAATAGAAAGCAGAAAGTTTAAGAATTATTTCAATAATTAAAGATTCCACAATAAAAGTATTTATATAATTTTATATAATTATTATTTTAGTAGAACATTTAATTGACTATTATAATTTTTTATTTTGCTCAAATAGAGACAAATTTGTGTAATTCATCATATATATATGTAAAATATATAATTCATTGCATAATATAAATAGCATTATGCAAAAATATAGTGCGTAATAGTTTTAAGTTTAAAAAAAACTAAACGAATAAGAGTTTTTGAAGCACTTAGGAACAGTAACAGAAAAAGGATGATACTTCATTTAATGACGAGCAACATGAGAATGAATTTTAGTAAATGGCACAAGAGACGCTAGCTTTTTTGAGCAGTGCCCATTATAGTATTTATAGAAAAGAGAAAGAGAAGCAACATTACGACGACAGAGGTTGAAGGTTGGCTGCAAGAGCAGGTCCAACTATGTTTACAATGCGTTTTTGTACCTTGTCTAAAAGAGAAAGGGCATCATTAGAAGATCCGCCCCAGATATGGCAACAGTATTCCATACAAGGCCGGATTTGAGATTTATAGAGATAGAGAATAGAATCCAGAGTAAGAAAGTGTTGAGCTCGATAAAGAGATGCAACTTTAGCAGATGCTAATTTTGCAACAGATTTCATATAAGGTTTCCAAGAAAGATCAGAAGTAAGAGTTAATCCTAGAAGATGAAGGGTAGATGACACATCGAGTACATTACTGTTCATAAATATAGGAAGGTCTAAATTATTGCGATAACGATTGGCTGAAAAAAGTTAAATTTTATCTGAATTAAAGTTCACCAGCCACTGTGAGCCCCATGTTGTAGCAGAAGTGAGATCTTTTTCAAGCTCAAATGCCCCCTGCAAGCAATCAGAGGGAGTTGGCTTCTTATCGTGACAAGAATAAATGGTAGCATCGTCAGCGAACAATGCCACCTTAGATGTGAGAATATCTGGAAGATTGTTAATGTATATTAAAAAGAGTATAAGGCCAAGGATTAAACCTTGAGGAACCCCTGAAGTTACAGAATAAGAAGAGTGCTGTCCATCAAGGACAACTTTTATACTACGATTGGAAAGAAAGGATTCAATAATCTTAAAGATGTTTCCAGATACACCGTAAGAAGAAAGCTTATGGAGAAGACCAGCATGCCAAACTTTATCAAGCGCTTTAGAAATGTCAAGAGCGATGACCTTAACCTCTCCACCTTTATCTAATGCGTGATAAAACCTATAGGTTATTACTGATAGCAAATCAGCCGTAGAACAAGAAGATCAAAATCCATATTGATGATCAGAAAGTAGGTTATGAGATTCGAGATGAGAGATTAAGTGTTTGTTAATTAAAGAATCATAAACCTTGCTTATGATAGGAAGAAGACTAATGGGACGGTAGTTAGACGAATTGGATCGCTCTCCAGAATTTTCGAAAATAGGGATAACAGATGCTACCTACCAGCAGGCTGGAAAACAAGACTCTGATAAGCACTTGTTAAATAGTTTTCAAAGGATAGACGACAGCTCTGGAGAACGCTTCTGCAAGACTATAACAGGTATGTTGTCTGGGCCACAAGCTGTAGAAGAGTCTAAGCAGAAAATCACTTTAGATACAGAAGCTGGAGTGATATGGATGTTGAGCAATGGATCAACTTGTTTGACGGCTATATCAGGTAGAACGCACCTAGTGGAATCAAGAGATGATATTGATGAAAAGTTCTTAGCAAACAATTCAGCTTTGTCTTTAGGTGAGGTGACAAAGTCTGAACCGTACAAAAGAGGTGGATTTACAGGCTTGCCCTTATTATTGATACTATTAAAGATTCTCCAGAAGTCACGAGAGTCTAAATTTTGTGATGAAATACAAGATTTCATGATCTGAGAATAGCGGGCTTTGGCGTTTGACAGAACCTTCTTACAATGATTCCTAGCAGTAATAAACAGACATTTGTTTTTTAGAGAATTGTTTTGCTGATAGATATGAAGTAATGGTTTCAATTGGCAATTGCAGCAGCACAATGTGAGGAAAACTATGAAAAAGAGTAAGGCTTGACCTGGAATCGTTGAGAGGGAATAAAGGATTCCATGCCAACCTGAATCCACGAAGTTATGTAAGGAGCACATTTGTCAATAGGACTCTTTCTGTGATTCGTGATGGCCCTCTCTACCCAGGGGCCATCACGAAGAAAATCACAGAAAGAGTCCCAGTCAGCTTTAGGGTAGTTGTAAGATGTGCGATGATAGGGGGATTCTGATGATAAAGAAGAATGAGATAATAGTTTTAGAGAGACCAAACCATGATCAGAAGCACCTAAGGGTGAGTGTGGAGAAACTGAGCACTGACTAGGATCAGAAACAAGACATAAGTCGAGTAGAGAAGGTAAATGATTCGGGTTGTCTGGAAAGCAAGTTGGAAAGATGACTATTTGAGTTAGGGATTGAGAAAGGCAAAAGTTGTGGGCCTTAATGCCTGCAGAGTCACGGACACTAGAGCTAAGCCATTCAGTGTGATGAACAATAAAGTCACTGACAACAACAATATTGGCTGATGGATAAAGAATGAGGACTTGGTCAATATAATCAGAAATAACATCAAGAAGAGTGCAGTCTTAAGATGAAGGAGAGCGATATAGAACAAAGAGAAAGGTGATAGAGTGAAGTGGTGCTAAACGAAAGCACATAAAAGAGTAGTCTGTGGATTCAAACCTAGTTTCCCGACAAATGGGAGAATTCTTACAAATGTAAATGCCTAGGCCAAGCATGTGACTATTTGAATCTTTACCAATTAAAGGAAGATAACCATCAACATCAAGATCACAAAATGAGACAGCCAGACTCAAATTAGTCTCACAAAGAGCAAGTAGGTCTGGTGAACTTTGCAAGAGATTCAACAGAAGAAAAGTTACTTTGAAGACCACCATATTAGTGAATGATAGGTTTAGCGAACTTGATGATGACTGTGGTTTTTTGTGTTTTATAGTTTTTGTTACTTTATTTATTTTTAAATTTGTTAAAGAACTTGACTCGAAACATAGATAGTACTCAGTACATTGTTTTATAGCCCAAGCAATTGCCTCATTCCCACTAATAAACCCTAATAATATTTTAATCATTCCCACTAATAAACCCTAAGCCGTAACAAAGGGTTTCAATGTGTGCCTTGGCATTGCACACCAAAAGTACAAACAGGGACACCATCCATGCGCAACATTGCACTGTTATTACTCTGATATTTTTCAGCTGTTGATGGAATCAGCCTCTCTGAGAGCTACAACAGAGTTTGGGAAACCTGACTACTAGGCTAGTCAAGAAATAGAATCTGTTTACCCCTTAAGTCTTTGCCTAGGAGGCCTTCTACAAGACAGCAGCTGGATGCATTTAACATCTGCCCAAGATGAGTGTTTTTGTTTAGACACCATCTCTAGCCTTTACTCAACCAAGAGCTCCAAGGCAGGGGGTGTTTTATGTTGGAGTTTGCATCTCCTAGCTTTTGCCTAAATATATATATATATATATATATATATATATATATATATATATATATATATATATATATTGAATATATATATATATATATATATATATATATATATATATATATATATATATATATATATATATATATATATATATATATATATATATTGAATTAATATATATATATATATATATATATATATATATATATATATATATATATATATATATATATATATATATATATATATATATATATATATATATATATATATATATATATATATATATATTGAACACTATTTTTTCCCAAAAATAGTGTTCAAAGCAGAGAACAAAAAGTAACAGGTATTCAGTAAATTAAAAATACCATCCAGCCTAATAATTGTTATATATAGAGATTTACAAAAAAGGTGGCAGGATAATTTATACTTTATAAAAATCCAACTGCATCCTGCCTCACTTTATGCACTGTGTATATATATATATATATATATATATATATATATATATATATATATATATATATATATATATATATATATATATATATATATATATATATATACAGTGCATAAAGTGAGGTGGGATGCAGTTGGATTTTTATAAAGTATAAATTATCCTGCCACCTTTTTTGTAAATCTCTATATATAACAATTATTAGGCTGGATGGTATTTTTAATTTACTGAATACCTGTTACTTTTTGTTCTCTGCTTTGAACACTATTTTTGGGAAAAAATAGTGCTCAAAACAGAGAACAAAGAGTAACAGGTATTCTCTTCACTGCACATTTCTGTTTAAAAAGAAAAGGAAATTTTTTTACTAATTCTACTATAACTTTGTATTATAATTATGTAATGTTTACATTCACATTTTTAATACTAAAATTCTGCTTTACCAAAAGCAAAACAGTCATTGTAGTATAAAATAACTTATAAAGTCAACAAGTTGTCAGCCATTTTTATAGTTAAAGTATAATCTCAAGCACTACAGTAAACATTACGCAAAAAAACAAACTACAATGACTGTTATGCTAAAACATTTGATGTGGGCAATAACTGAAATTGCTGCAACTTATTAGAAATCTGTTTTATGTAAGCAGTATTACAGTGATATTAACTATGAAATATCAATATTGTTTTAGAATTAATTTTTTGTTTATATACATTTTAACACTCTTTAATCATAATCTAAGAGTGCCATTCATTTAGACATTCTAATGCAGTAAAGAAATTATTTTTCAATTTTTCAAAATGTAATTTTATTTTTTTTAAATAAAATTACTTTATAGATAATCACTATTTATAATAATTGAAATTTTTTATTTAAAAAAATATAGATCTCGAGAGAGGTCTTAATGAGGTTACAATCCGATCAATTTGCAGACAAATGGTGGAGGTATAATTGTTATTGTTTTTTGTTTGAAAAATTTAGTTTTTTTTTTGTAGAAACAATTGCTTGTTGTTATATATATAAACTGTAAATAATCATTTTTTACCAGGAGCGGTTGTAGGATATATTTGTCCTAGAATTAGTTTTAAGGGGGACTATTCCAGGACAGACATTGAGGAGTGTATTCAGGAAAATGCCAAGTTCAAAAACTGTTGAATAATTTGCTAATATAAGCTTTTATTTTGGCAGATTTAGAGTCTACATCAAAAAATGTATAAGTGACCAATATTACTAAAAATGGGTATATATTTTTAGCAAAATTAGTTTTTTTTTTTTTTTTTTTCAGAAAATGGTTTAGCATGAGAGGCTCCTTACAGCCCAAAAAATAGCATTGGAAACAATTTAGGTTCTTGGTAGCGAGGGTTCAAGTTTTAAGAAATTTCAAATTTTAAATTTTTTTTATTTGTAAACAAATAAACAATATTTAAAGCACAGAGTAAAAATTTCAATTATAAAAATGCGTAGTTTTTTTTGTTTTGTAGGAGCCTTGAAGCTGTATCAGAGAATAAGTTAGCAAAATATAGTTTTTCTATTACCTATGGATTATAACTATACTGAAAAAAGTTTTTTTTTCTCAAGTAGTTATAAATTTTTATAACACCCTCATAAAGAAAGTATTATTGTTGTTTTTAGTGTACATTTTTAGAACTCATTTTATAGACCATGTTTTGAAATAAGAAACAACAATAATAAATTACCATTACATTTGATTTTTTTTAAAGAAAATAATATATATTTATCTTAAAAGCAATATTTGAACACAGCAGTAACAACACAGACATCTAAAATGGCTGCAGACTTTAAACCATCATTATAACAATAGGTTATTACAACAATCTAAGATAACATAGATAAATAAAATAGTACTTTAACTGATTACTTTCATTCAAAAAAAAAATTGATTGTTATTGTATTCGTTATAATGGCCTTATATCAGTCTTTTAGACTGCAGAAGTGCTGGTTTGCTGGTAAAAGCATAACCGGTTTAACACCATTAACTCTGCAACTCACTTTGCTGCAAATTGAACGGAGAACATCAAGACAATTGGGACATTACTTTAGGCCAAAAGCCTGACATTTCCATTGTTTGCAAAAACATTCAACTTTACATTTAATAAATTTTTCTTTAGCTTCTTCTTTCTTTTTTTTGGCTTCCTCCTTTGCTGTTATCTTTTGTCGTTTCTCTTTTTTTTATATCTTTCATTTTTGCTGCAACATCTTTTGCACGCATTGAACCATAGACCTGAGTAACACGAGTAGATATTTTCTCAAGATTTGATTTTCTTAATAGTTAGCAGATCAGGAATATTTTCTAATGGAAGGCTTTGCTCTTATCTTTCCAGTAACTTGCCCAACCTTTCCTTTTACCAACTGGTTACGAAATGGTTGACTTGAATTTGATTTGAATTTGACGCTGGTTCTTCTTTATGAATGCATGCAGCAGCTCGCTCAAATTTATCTTGTTGCATAAAGTTAACATTTAATTCAAAAGGTGTTATTCTAACTCTTTTTGCACTAGAAAAAAGAACTGGTTTCAATTCCCATTTCTCCCATATATTGCCTAAGATGGTCATAAATCCCTCTCTATTAATTGATTGCATTGGGTTGAAAAGATAATTCTTGACTATTCTGTACTCATGATGAAGATTTTTATTACCCTGGTCAAGCAACTGAGTTACACCGGTAGCGTCGGAAGGAGAAATAAATAATCAAATTTGTTTTGAAAAGAGGTATGTTAAAACTATGTCCGTCAGATAATAAAACAACAGGTTGTTCTATTGCCTTCTCAGTAAGGTAATTATCAAATTCTTGGCACTGCTTTTTCTAATTGTAAATTCTTTGCATCTATGAACTTTCTCCCAATTAATGCCTCAGGCTTACTTTTTCCATGAATCGATTGTAATTTTTCCTGTCTGAGCTGAATTTTTGGCTTCATTTTCTATGTTATTTTTTCTAACTTTATTTGATTAAAAAATTATTGTTAAACATTTTAGAGTACATTATTCGCTTACAGAACATATCTAAATACTAAAAAACTACTTTCAAGTAAAAGTTTAGATTTTGCTCTAGGTTCAAACACAAAGTAAGTTTTAATAAATTCTTGCAATTATTATGTTCTAAAAATGTTATTGATTTTTTATCGTAAAAAACACGATGCAAACTTTGTTTAAAACACTGCACTGACATCTTTAGAATCAAGAGTTTACATAGAATCAATATAGTAAAAAGTGAGAACACATGTATAGCCTATAAAATGTTATTTTAAAAACATCAATGTTGTTTTTGGGGTACCAATCTTGTAGTTTTTGTGGTGCATCGGGTATTTTCTCCAAGATTAAGTTAGCAGTAACTGGTTTTATTTAAAGCAGATCAAATAATATTTGGGCACGCCAAATTTCAGCTTCATAGGTTCACTAGCTGCAGAGATACAATTGATAAATTGAATGCGGTTTTTGGGGTACACATACAAAAAACAACAAAAGTTCAGTTAACAATAAAAACAAAACTATTTCTTAAAAATTAATCAAACTAGCTGGGAAGAACTGATTTTAAGCAACTCTAAACACAAACAAAACAGTTTTTCTCAAAAGCAAGTGATAAAAAAGTTTTATTACTTGCTTTTTTTGGTGTTTTTGCGGTACGTATACCTGTACAGACATTCAAGATTCAAAGCCTGATCTAACTGAAATGCCACTTATTTGTTGAATTTATTTATTTAGTATATTTTTGAGTTTTTTGTTTTGTATATTTTTGTATTGTTTTTTTTTTTCTTAATTAAAGGGATTGGCATTTTTGCATTTAAATGGAGTAATACATAGAGATTTAAAAGCTGGCAATGTTCTACTTACAGAAAGAGGAGAAATAAAGCTTGGTGAGTAATATAAGCTTATTTTCTGATGGTAAAATTTGCTTAAAATTTTCATTCTTTTTGCATCTACCTAACTGTATGTATGTACCTAAAAGTTACAGTTAAGAGCGACTTTCTCTAAGAATCAGCTAAAAACACTAAATTTTTAGAGTGACCTATTTTAAAATCACTAATTTTATAATGTTGTTACTATTCATACTATAAGCTCAATTCAAAAAATTTTTTTATAAAATAATAATTGGTTCTCTAGATATTAGAAATCAAAGTTTGACTAAACTCTTAGAAATATTGACCAAATGGTGTCAAAGGCATTTTTAACTCCAAAAAAAAGCAAAGTAAATACTTTTCAAAACTGCGATTACCCCATAATTTTTTTTTGTTATTATAAATCTTTATTTAGTTAAGTACCTACAAGTATGAAAACACTTATGGGAAGTAAAAGCTTAGCTGCAAAATCAAACTCAAAAATGAAAATTTTAATCTTTTTTCACATTGATTGTGACATGATAATGGTTAAAGCCCTTGGTTCACTGCAAAATTCAATTTAAAAATTTTTTTATTGACCTTTAATCTACTTTATTTATAAAAAATACTTATGGGGTATAGCAATAGTTCAGGAATAGGATGGAAACAAGGAAAAAAATGTATGCACCCTAATCACAAAGTACAAACAGAGAAGAAAGCATTATTATGGCGACCTGCACCGATATCTATGACACTTCAAATATCTTCCATTATAATTCATACATTCCAATCGGTTCAATTATATGCAATTGTCATCGAAAAAAATTCTATTCCAAGACAAGGAAAAAAGAAACAAAAATAATAACTGAACATGAATCTACATTAAGAGCTACTGATATTGATTTTATACCAGATGAGTTTTTATAAAATCAAGAAGAACTTAATACTTCAAATGAAATCAGAGAAAATATCACAGCGTGTCTAAGGACCAGTCCAATTAAATTCCAGTTTAAAAGAAAAATAGTCACACCATTGCTTTATATAGGGAAAGTTGCAAAGAAATTGTCTACGAGCCTCTGTCCAACTCAAGTTTAATGCAGATACTAAATGGAATTAAACCATCTCATAGAAAATGCCTGGCTTATTTAGATGACACGGCTGCTGCTGGGATGAATGCATTTGCAACACTTGAACAATTCGCAAATATGTTCAATAAAAAATCAACTGTTGAAAAACTTGAAAGATTAAAAAGATATTTAAAAACTAAATATAAACTTTATTGCAGCTATATGGAAAATGAAATTGCAACACATTCAACTCGATTTGCCCTTTCTGACCCTAAAAATATTAAAATGCAATCATGTAGCATTTTAAATAATTTTGTATGCTGTGAATGCAATGAGCTGTTTGAAGTTTTAGATGAAGTCAACCAAATAGGAAATGAAAATTATGTCGGTGATGGTGTACTATATGGCATTAAAGTATCAATAGACAGCATCATAGAAATATGTATATGAATAGTATATGAAACACCTCTTAAGAGATGCACTACAGAAAAAAGCATAGAATGATGCATATAAACAGCTAGATGACAAAACAGCATTTGGTTGAAAGAATATTCACAAAAGATATTACCCGTAAAGTTTTGAGAGGAACTACTTAGGCAAAAAGGACTACTTTGAGAAGAAGGGCATAAGTATGCATATAGATGTTTTTTTTTTTACCAAAAAAAAATGATGTCCTCAAAAAGCATGTTTACCCAACAATTTTATATCGCTGCGATCAAGGTATTTCCTCTGTTATCTCTATTGCTGAATCAGTTCTAAATCAGTTTCACCTAGATAAATTATACTCAAAAAGTATGATAGATTAACAAGGAAACATACTGAATTCAAGCGCTTATAAATAAATACAGAAGCACCATGAAAATATCTATACTATTTATATGTTATTTTTTCTGAGCTATTGCAGTACCCCATAAGTATTTTTTGTAAATAAGGTAGATTAAAGGTCAATATAAGTTTTTTTAAATTGAATTTTACAGTGAACCCAGGGCTTTAACCATCACCATGTCACAATCAACACGTAAAATGATAAAAATTTGTAATAACAGTAAAAGACTGCCTGATAGTTGCGTTTTTGAATGAAAACGAAGATCAAATATGACAAAAAAATCTTTTTTTGCATATTTTGAAGCATAATATTTAGACAAAGAAAAAATTTCCTTTACCAATTTTATTAATTTTTGGCCTGAACTAGCCAATAAGCAATAATCAAGCGGAATACTTGTTGTAAAGTATTTAATGTAAAGTTTTTTTTAAGTTTAAAAATGACTTTGACACCATTTGGTCAATATTTCTAAAGGTTTAGTCAATGTTTGACATCTAATATCTAAAATACCAATAATTAAAATTTTTTTTTTTTGGAATTAAGCTTTTATTATAAATAGCAACAATATATTAGAAATTAGCAAATTTGAAGAGGGTCACTATTGAGCTCTCTTTGATTCTTACAGAAAGTCCCTCTTAAGCATATTGATAAAAATTTTTTAGTTAAGTTTCACTATTTTAAAAAAAAATAAATTCAATATAAAAATTTTTATTATAGGATTAAAAAATAAGGGTGCTATCAAAATATTTTGTCAATTTTAAAATATTTGCAGTTAACAATAATCAATAAATTTAACATTTATTTAGTTCATTAATGTTTTATTAACAAAATATATTTACTACAACATAAAAATATAAATTTACTTATGTTAAATTAATTCCTTGACAGTTGACAGAAATATATAAATATTTTCATGGTATTATTTTAGCTGATTTTGGTGTGTCTGCATTCAATAAGCCACCTGGTAAAAGAAACACTTTTATAGGAACTCCTTATTGGTAGCTTTTTTTTATTTTTTTTATTAGTAGATTATTATAAAATGAATTTAAAATTTATGACCATCATCTTAATATACGTCATGTTCTTAATTTTATGAACATCAATATTTATAAAAATCATCTTAAATTATAAATTAAATAATTTAAATTAATAGTTAAATTTTTAAAACTATTTATTTATTTAAAGTCAGGATCATCATGATCATCCCTGCTACTGATAACATTAAATTCATTACAACTTACATCATGTCCTGCTACGTTATAGATTTTTTATCTAGGCAAAATCTAATAGAATTAACTGAGACTTAAATTAACCCTTGCCTTTGGACTCTAAAGAACTCAAAACATATAAAATTACATTAAACGAGCTTCATTCTTTTGAAAGTATTTTTTTTTTTTAGATTTTAAATCATTCTTTTAATTGTAAAAAAAGTTAAGTTGATTTTGATTTGGTTAACAGGAATGAGCTTATTGTTTAGGATGTCATACACTATCTATGATGGAAGTCTATAAATATACAAATAAGGGTGTTAGCCAAGACTTGAAAAATTGAAGATTGTATGAGTCAGGAAAACATGAAGATAATAGAGAGTTCCAAAGGGTTGAAGTGTGGGGGAAAAAATTAGATAAGTAAAAGTTTTTAGAACATGCATGGACAGATACAGTAAATAAATGAAACTTTTTTGAATGGCGAATCAAGCAAAAATGAGTTTCAATTGACGGAACTAAAGATGAAAGCTCGTTTAAGCAGCAAACATGCTAGTATTTGAAGGAAGAGATGTGACATTACGACGATAGGGAAGAGGCTCAAGCTTAGCAGATCCAACTACGTTTACAATGCATTTTTGGACCTTTCTAGAAGAGAAAGAGCATTATTAGAAAAACCAGCCCAAAATTGACAACAGTATTCCAAAGAGGGGCGAATAATAGATTTGTAAAGGTAGAGAATAGAATCAGGAGTAAGAAAATGGCGAGTAAGATAAATGAAGCAACATTTATATTATATATTATAAATTATGAATAAAAATTTGAATGAGAATATTTTTAATAAAATAAGTTTTCCAATCCTTAACAGACTAATGATGGTGATTGCGTGTACAACTTACACTACAACTTTTTTTTCGTCATGGAAGGAGTTAGTTTTGGTTTCATGATCTGACACTTCAGGAAGATTTTCCTGATGATATGGTCTGGTCTTAGTATCGTTTTACAGTTGGAAAGTCATCTCTTTAGACCAAACTTATCTTGGATACTTTTTTTTACTTGCTTTGCAGTTTGGTGATATAGTTTGTGCAATTTTTCTCTGAGAATATTGTGAATTCTGTAAAAAAACATCTGATTTAACTAATTTTTGTTGGAAAAGTCACTATTCCTGCAAAAATTGGAATATTTCTTTTCCATTGCTGAAAATTTAAATTATCATATTTGAATTTAAGTTATTTATTTGATATAAATTCAAAAAAAAAATGTGTGGTCCTAATGTGATGGGCAACCACTCTAATTATTATCATATTTATTTGAAAATTAACTCATACTTATACATAAAATAATATTATAAAAACCTAAACAAATTTTATCATACTTAAGCATATTTTATAAATAGATATTATCTACATTTGTAACATAAATAGTCTACATTTAGGGAAAAAACAATATTTTTAGAAAAGAAAAATTTTTTCCTTGTAACAGAGTTATTTCTCACCAATAAAATTCCATTTAACTCAGGTTTTACAAATACATTGGAAAAGTGACATAAGAATAAAAACTAAAATATGCATGAGTATGATATACCCTAATAAATATGTATATATTAGGGGTGTTCAGAAAAAAAATTTTAGAATTTAAAAAACCAAATGGTCTAGATTTGAGGCAAATATGTTTAAACACAAAAAATTTCAACCTCATTGAATTACTCTTTCCTGGCTCTCAAAGTACACGTTTGGAAAAAAAAAACGATCCAAAAATGACCAAAAATAGCTTACTTTAAGTGTCTTGAGGGCAAGGCTAGCATGAATATTTTTGATGATTTTTTTTTAGGCTTAGATAAATATCTTTATTTTTGATTAAAAAAAGTATGGTTTTTTTCTTCCTTCACAAATAGCGCTTCCAATACCTATACCATTTTTCAATACTGGTATTTCGGTGCTGAATAATTTCAATACCGGTATTAAACTTTTTTTTAAATTTACCATAATATAAATAAAATCTCAAGTTAATAGTAAAAATTTAATAAATTTAATAAGCTTGTTTATTTTATATCAAATTACTGACTTTCATTTTTCGTTTTTTCTCCTATGCAAAATAAGCCCGGAAGAAACATTGCATTCAGAGTATCATCCTCAAGAGATGATCGTAATTTTGTGACAATATTGCCACGTGCTAAAAATCTACGTTCCAATTCGACACTTGTTGGCTTCACAGTTTTCAAGTATGATTTCCTCCTTCGAAAATTGCCATCTCATAACATATAATTTTGGATAAATTATTCGAAACATTTAATCTTCCTGTTTGCTACATTTCTTCAAAATTGCTAAGTCAAGCCTTTCTTTCAATGACAAGTTTACAGCGTTTTTCAACAAAATTGCATTCAGAAGAATTCACCAAACCTTGGTGGAAAGGAGAAGATTATACACTTTCTGATTAAGCTGGTCATTCAGTCGAGCAATTGTAATTACAATGGCTGATTTGTTAAAATGCTCAAAAAAGCGCTGGATCCAAATTGACTCCAAAACTCGCTACAACAGTGAGTTTTTAGTCAAGTATTAATAAGTATTACCAAGTTCGTCTAACGTGTATTTTTGAAGTGTTTAATCTTTTTTTTTTAGAAAATGGTGAAACAATTACACAACAGTGTGCACTGTTATTGATTAACGGCTGCAAATCATCAGTCAGTTCAATAGAGTCATTCTTTTTACTCATTACACCAGTCTTCATCATCATTGGTTTTGTTTGTGTCATTGTCAATATTTCTATTCTCGTCACTCTTATAGCTATTGTTGTAATTGCAGATTACTTTCAAGTTTTTTTTTTTTCAAAAATCAAAATGCTTTTTGTACAAACATATTATCTTGACGTTTTACACTCAAGTTTTAATTTTTAATACTCTCAAGTTTTAATTTTTCAGTTAACATTACGTTTGCATTAGCGCTATATTGAATTCACATTGCGTTTTTGTTTTAATAGGCGCTTGGTTAAAATAGTAAAAATTCCATTATAGAAATCAGCTGTAACAACTCAAACTTTTCATCCTTTACATTAGTGCAAAACTTAAAATGTGTTTTACATTAAAGCTAGTGACGTAATGATAATATTTTAAATAAATGCATTGTTAATAAAAGGAAGACAAAATTTTACTTTTAAATTAAACGAGTTTTTTCTTTAATTAAATTTTTAAAACAATTTTTTTATAAAAGATCATTAAACAACTTATTATTTTTACCATCCCAAACTCTTTAGTGAGCGTGATTTTTTACTGTCATTACAAGATGAACAAGCGTTGTTTATCACGACTGGAAGTTTTAAATATTTCATTAACTTTTGTGTTTAACGTAAATAGAGCGATCGCACCCGCTTTATCACAAGCCCTTTACATATATTTTAAATACTGGTATTGATCCAAACCAATACTGGTATTTCAGTTCTTGAAAAAGTCTGGTAATACCGGTATTCCTGTATTAGTACTACAGTTATTAGAAGCACTATTCTCAAAAAACAGTATAATTAACATTTTAAATCAGCTAAAAAAACGTTTGTCACGCAGTGCAGTGTTATTTTTATAACCTTTTCATCAATTAAATTTCAATATTGTTTTTTAGGTTCATAATGCAAATTTATATATTCAAAATAAGAGTAAAATTACTCATTATTATTTGTAATATTTTATTCAAAAGTGGAAGTGAAAGCCAGTCTTGTATTCTTTCTTCTGTTAAACCACTAAAACTAATCATAAGGTGAAAAAACTCATCTACCAAAAATGGCTAAGCTTGGTGGATCTTTCTCAGTACAAGCATTTTTTTCTATCTCTTTTCTAATGTCTTTTTTTTCTTTGTTTTCATTTTAAAAGTGTTCAAATGTAGGCATTTTAAATGAAAGAATTGCAACTGCAATTTTTTGAAAAAATCAAATACAGCATCAACTGCTTTTGAATTGAAACAAATATTTCTGAGTTGATGCATCTGATGGATATTTTTAATATCTAAGTTGGGGGTCTTTAATACTACTTGATTCTAAATACCACTTGGCATAAAAACAAACTGTTTTTTCGAACAAATTCAAGTTGAGAATACTTCCTTTATTCTTCCTTTGTTCTACATCCTTTGTTCTATTTTTCTTTCTGTTACTCTCTGTTGTCAACAAGCATAAAATAATTAATTATAATGAAATGTAATATTAATTATAGTGAAATAATAAAAATACCACCTAATATTTTTATTTGTAAAGTTTTACCTTTCTACTAAATTTCTTATCCTCTGTTCCAAGAATAAACTTTCTTTCTCCTTCCTGATCTTACAAAAACATCAAATCTTCGAACTTATATTAGTCAGATCTTTTTTTGTCTGTCCTAATAATGTTTTTCAAATCTGGTTTGTCAACCCAAAGTAATTCTCAAAGTTTTTCTGATTTGTTAAATTATTAAAAAAAGCCTCTTTTTTCATTTTTTTTCATATCAGAATACTCCTTCTCTAGTTTTAAAAGATTTATGTATAGTTAAGTGTCACTAACAACTTCAAACCCTGCTTTTATCCAGGGTTTGTTAACCTAAGCTAAAACACAGTTACAATTCAACTCTTCATATCTTTCAAAATTTTTACGAAACGAACATGTAACTATATTGATTTTTTTGGATGGTTTTAGGCAGTTTAGATTGCATGTATGCTAGATGTTGTAGAATATCCATGCCTGTTGAAAGTTGAATTTCTAAATGCACATTTGTTTTTGTTTGTTATATGTTGAGACAATTTAGACCACTGTCTCTCCCTTAAATATACAATATACATTAAATTGTGCAAGCTTCTTACAAACAAGAAATTACCTGAAATTTCTGGTTTAGCTGCTTTAATAATAAGCAATTTTTTAAAAATTAGATCTTAACCTAAATTTGTTTCTTTAACTCGCACTCTTCGTTTCTTTTATACATAATGCAAGTTTAGTATTTATCATTATCCTTAACCTAAATAACCAAGAACTTTAAATTTATAAATATTATATAAAAAAAAATATATATTATTCAAATATTTGCTATTTTGTATTTGCTTTAGTTAAATTTTACATGTTAAATGAAATATACTACACATTGTATCTCGATTTGTGTATTCATTTTGCTACTTATAAAATTACTAAAATTGGAGTTATAAGTTAAGAACATGTTCTTTAGTTTAGTAATGGTATTAAATATACATAAAAGGAGTAATTTTATTCTAATTTTGAATATATACATTTGCAAACTATACTATAAACCTAAATAACAGTTTGAATTTAATTGTTAAAATGGTTATAAAAACAACACTGCACTGCGTAATAAACGTTTTTTAGCCGCTTTATATGTAAATTATTCTGTTTTTTGAGAAGGAAGGAAAAAACCATACTTTTTAAATCAAAAATAAAGATATTTATCTGGGCATAAAAAAAATTATTAAAAATATTTATGCTAACCTTGCCCTCAAGACACTTAAAGTAAGCCATTTTTGGTCATTTTTAGGTCCTTTATTTTCCAAACATGTACTTTGATTTTTTATAAGTTAAAACATATTTGCCTTAAATCTAGATGGTTTGAAATATATATATATATATATTTCAGGCCTTGTTTTAAATAAAAAATGCTTAAGGCAATAGCCTAATGTGAATTTGGCGTCAAAATTTTCTTTCTTTTTTTATTTTTTAAAAACCATAACTTTGTTAAATTACTGCAATAGTTAGTTACCGCAAAATGAGTTAAATTTTATTTAACTTCTTTTTTATTATTACTATAAGGGAATGTTTATTTTATTTTATTTTTTGTTAATATTAAATAATTAAATTTAATATTACTTTATTAAAAAATGTTTGATATTAACAAATTTCTTTCTTTTCTCAACATTTGCATAAATGGATTAAAATATGTTCAATTTTTAAAATTTTTAATTGCGGCTTTGTAACTACAAATGATTTTTTATTTAAAAAAAAATTAAAGAGTAACAAATAAAAAAATTACATTAATTTATTTACTGTATTTATTAAAAGTTTATTATTTTATTAACGATTTTGTTGTAAAAGCAAAGATTTTTCCAAACATCATTTATCAAAATTATATCGCTCCCGGTGGAAAATGAGCTAGCGACTAGCTAGCTTTATAGCATTTTTTTTCTTATTTTATTTTTTCCTCATGTCTTTAACATCTTTAAAAATTAGACTTTTAGTGTTGAGTCTATTATAGTTATGAGAATAATTGAACTTTAAACATAGCAATTTTGTAGCAATGCATCACTAGTTACATATCGCAGCTTTGTAGCTAGCTATAAAATGTCTACAAGCCTATAGCTGGTTGATAGCTACATATCAAAATTTTTTAAACAGCGATTTTATTACGATATAACGCTAGCTACAATAGCCAGTGGGTGTTTAGCTTATTAAGCTTGCTGTCCTCGAAGCCAAATTGTTGTCTTTATATTTACAAGTATCGATAGCTTTTCACTAACTTAAAAAAGTTAGGGATCCTCATGGCCAAATTTGAATTTTCCACCGGGCTGCATATATCATTTATTAAAAAATAAATGCTGTGATTTAACTTGCGTTATATAAAAAAAGTTTAATTTACATTTTGTGCAAATTTTTGATGCAGCTGTTTATTAAAAATTTAATTTTGAGTAAAAAAAAAAAAATGTTTAGGAAGGAAAACCGAAGAAACAGTGACCATAAAAATGAGCTAATTTTTAAGAACAAATAAAATTTAAATATTGAACAATATTTAGTAATAAGTTAAACCCAAGCATTAGCTTTATTTTAATAAACTTAAATATATTTTTTTAATCAAAAATTAAATTGTATATTTTTAAAAAAAATCAATCGCTACAATAAAATAAAAACAAAAACAAAAAAACAAAAAACAAAATTTAATTTTATTTCAGTTTTTTTTCATTAGCAAAAAGCGCTTATATCTAACATAATTGTCATTCAAACTTTTGTAACAAATATTTTTACATAAACGTCATTCAAAAGTTAATGTGATTTTTAAAAAAATTAATTACTTCTTTATCTTACTGCTTATAGAATAATTCAAAAGTTAAAAAATTATAAAAAGTTGCTTAACCAAAATTGCTTACTGCTTATATATATATATGTATGTATATATATATATATGTATGTATATATATATATATGTATGTATATATATATGTATGTATATATATGTATATATATACATACATATATATATACATATATATACATACATATATATGTATGTATATATATGTATATATATATATATATATATATATATATATATATATATATATATATATATATATATATATATATATATATATATATATATATATTAATATTAATTTATATATTAATATATATAATAATATTAATATATATATTGAATAATAAAATCATTTTTTCTTTTTTAGTGATTTTATTTATAAAAAAAAAATCTTAAATTCATGTTTTGCAAAATATGCAAAGTAAGTGTCTTTTTAAGGATGGCACCTGAAGTTGTTATCACAGAGACTATGCGCGATTCATTCTATGATTGCAAGGTATTTTAAATGTAAAATTAACATATTTAGTAACATTTATAAATTACTAACATATTTAGTAACATTTGTAAATTACTAACATATTTAATAACATTTGTAAAATTACTAGCATATTTTAGTAACATTTGATTACTTCTATAATATAGTTTTTTTTTAAATTGTGTTAAAGTTCTTATAAGTTTTCTTTGTGATTAAATGAAACAAAAAATATACCAAAATCGAATTGAACTGAAATTTTGATTGAAACATTTCTCAACAAAACCAAAATTTGAGCAAAACCTTTGCTAAAACTAATGTTGAAATTTTAAACCAAAACTAAAATTTATAGGGATCCCCAACTGCTGAGACAGATCTCCAACTGATGAGACAAATTGTGTTTATATTAAAGAAAATGATATAAAAAAAATTTAAGCTGAAGTTTTTTGATATCAATAAATACTAAAATTGTCTTGATACACTCATCAGCCATATATTTAAATCAAGAAAATTTGTTCAAAAATACGAAATTCAAAATTATAAAAATACTAATTTATTGAATAAAAGGAGTGAAGTTGTCTCTAAGTGCAGACATAGAAACAGATTCCTTCTTTCCCAATTAGACACTGGCTGTTAAAAAAGATGTATTTCCATATTATTATAATTGTTATTATTATTACTATTATTATTATTTTACATCATTTTGACGTCAACTCATTCCAGTGTTTTTTTTTGAATTTTGTAACTGATTTATAATTGTATTTTTGAACGGTTTTTCTTGATTTAAATATATGGCTGATGAGTGTCGCAAATGGCATGAAACTTTAAGTACTGTAAAAAAGTTTTTTTTTTTCATCAAATCTTTTATTTATTTATTTTTTGATCTATTTTGTGATTTTTTCACTTTATATTGATCACTCTAAAATCGAAAAAGAGTTGATTATTATCACATAATCAAAACAACAATAAATATATATATATATATATATATATATATATATATATATATATATATATATATATATATATGTATGTATGTATGTATGTACATATCGTGGATCCAATTCTATAATTGGATAGCCTGAATTTTGTTGGATATATATGCATATATTTATGTATAAATTTATATACATATATATATATATATATATATATATATATATATATACAGGCCTTGTTACGAAATTTGGCTGCGTAACGGAAAAGCGAAACGTGAATAAATGTAACTTTACTGAATTTTGTTGGATATATATGCATATATTTATGTATAAATTTATATACATATATATATATATATATATATATATATATATATATATATATATATATATATATATATATATATATATATATATATATATATATATATATATATATATATATATATATACATATATATATATATATATATATATATATATATATATATATATATATATATATATATATATATATATATATATATATATATATATATATATATATATATACAGGTCTTGTTACAAGATTTGGCTGCGTAACGGAAAAGCGAAACGTGAATAAATGTAACTTTAGTTAATAAAGATATTTACATTGTTAAAAGTTAATTTACGTCAGTTGCGTTTTTACTTCATTGTAATTAAATTTAAAATGACATTAAAAACTATTATTAGTCTTTGAAATGAAATAGCTTTAAATTGAACAATGTTGTTATAAAAAAAAAAAAATTTCAATATTGATTAAAAAAAAGTCTTCTTGTATTAAAATCTTATACTTATTTAAACTTAATTTTTTTGCTTTTAAACATTCGTTTTATGGTTGTTTTTTATTTATTTTTTTTTTAAATAATTTAAATTTAACACTTGTTTATGGTTGATTTTCTTAAAGGGATTTAAATGTACTAACTAAACGCATAGATTGGGTTTTCCCCTTTTAAAAAAAACGTTTGTACTAACTGATTTTGATAAAATAAATGTTGTAAAGAAACAAAATTTACTGCTTTTTCGGCTTTGTTTTTTTTTATTTCCATTAAACTATTTTATTTTTATGTACAGTGAAACCTAATATTTTTTTTCTCAATCCAAAAAAAAATAGTGTTTTCGGTTTCCAGATGTTATAAGCAGAATTTGTTTTTAACAAATATCATTATAATTTTGAAATTTATGTATCTTATATTTATAGCTCAAGTACTAGTTTTGTTTTTAAAATAAAATAAAGATAAGTTGGGCTTTTAAAGAGTTTATTTACTGATCGCATTATTTTTAATAGGGAAAACCCAAACATAACATTTATAACTCGAGTTTAAAAGTGTTGACGTCATTTATTAACTTGTAGTTATAAAATGAATAATGCGCTTCTGTAAATAATGAATGAAACTGTAAAATAATGGAAAAATAAAAACTGGAAAATAATGCGCTTTTGTTAAGCGCATCTTTCAGACCAGTATTTGGAACTTACCTGAAACTTAACTAAAATTAAAATAAAGTTAAATGTAATACGAACATTTTAAAGTAACTTGAATTAAATTTATCAAATCTTTTTTTACTTTGGTAATTTTATCATAAAAAAAAACGGAGCATTTTAAAATTAAAAAATTTTAAAATGCTCTGTTTTAAAATTAAATGAAAGAATTTTAATTAAATTTAATAAATTTATTTACTAAAAACTATAATTATTAAAAAAATATTTAAATTTAATTAAAAAAATTGAAAATATTTCTTTTTTTAAATTTGATTGTTTATAAACTTATGAAATCTAACATTTAAAATTAAATATGATGAAAAATTTTAAACTTAAAACACTTTATTTTCTTTAAGTAATTTTTAAAAACAAAAAAAAAAATTATTAAACAAATTGTTTCTTTAACAAAAAATCTATTAATTTACAATTGCGGTTAAATGCTTTTACTTAAGACTTTAATACTTCTGAATGAACGTCACATAAACGATATAAAAAGATAATTTAAATATTCTAAAAGATAAAAGTTTTTGCGTAACGCATAACTGCTGAACGCGTAGGCAAATCGCCTTTTCACAGGCAAAATGCGAGCTGCGTAACGCTTCTTAACAAAGCCTGATATATGTGTATATATATATATATATATATATATATATATATATATATATATATATATATATATATTATATATATATATATATATATATATAAATATATATATGAATGTTTATATTTAAATTTCATATATATATATATATATATATATAAATGTATATATTTATATTTCATATATATATTTCATATATATATATATATATATATATATATATATATATATATATATATATATATATATATATATATATATATATATATATATATATACTTAAATGTTGACATCTTCAATAGATTTTATTTGTATAAATATTTTGAATTGAACTTCTTTTTATGGTTTAATATCTATTTGTTAAAAATATATTTATTTTTACGATATTTTGAGGGAATATTAATACCCTTGTTGTCAAGAATATTAAAAACCGTTATAAAAAAATAAAACTCATTTTATTTTTTACAACGGTTTTTAATATACTTGATAACGAGGGTATCAATATTCCCTCAAAATATCGTAAAAATAAATATATTTTTAACAAATAGATATTAAACCATAAAAAGAAGTTTTATTTAAAAAAAAAAAAAAAAAAAAAAAAATATATATATATATATATATATATATATATATATATATATATATATATATATATATATATATATATATATATATATATATATATATATATATATATATAAAACCTAAGTGGAAAAACCAGAGTCACATCTTTTAAGCTATTTCCATTTTTTAAACTAGTATATTTTATTTCATATTTTGTTGTAATTAAAAAGTGAAAAAACCAGTGCAGTCTTTAAGGAAGAGGATAAAATGAAATACAATCCAATAGAGTAATCAGTAATTCCAAGGTTATATTTGGAACAAGCTGCATTGTCCATAGTTTTGATTGTTTGCAAAAGCATGTGATTTCTGAAATTCGCAACTATTGGTTGAATAAAACAGCGAGAAATTGTTGTTACAATAAAATCATGAGAAAGAAAGATTAATATTAATTTAAAAAAAATACAGAATTTAGCAAGACACATTAGTGGGGCAGATTGTAATTGTAACAACGTAACAGACCGGAAGCAGATAAAACTTATTTACACAGTTTTTATTCACAAAGTTCACAATCAAAAATAAATAATCTATCATCAACAGTCATCTTCATTAGGGCATGTTTTGATGCAACTGGAAAATCCTTCCGGTAAAGGTCAACCAGTCAAAGAAGAAACTAGTTTTGATTTTCATCTTTCATAATGCTTTATTTAAAGGATGTTACAGGTGCTATGCCTCATTCTGCGCAATCGTTGATGACCTTCATTTTACAAACTTTGCGCTTCCTTTTAAGATATATTGAATTCATTTCCCACTGAAGATTCTTTTATTAAAAAATGATTCAGCTTTTTCTTTGCCATTCTTCAAAATTAGATTATAAAGTTCTGCAGTGTGTTGTGTGATAAAAGAAGACATTTAAAGCACATAATAAAAAAAAAAATTCAAAAGTTCTACGTAATCCTCCTTGGGGTTGTTGACCTTTCATCTAATCATTCCTGAGTTGATGACCTTTAATTGGTTCACAATAGTATGTGAAAACAGCTCTTTGTTGATTGCTGGCAATTGTTTTTGGAAACGGTTAAAAAGTTCCCCTTGAGGTCCTCCACTGGTTCCAAATGCAGTTGTGAAAATGGTGGAAAGCATTACTTCAAACACATGGTGCCTGCATGCTTTATATATAAGATTATGGTTAAGATTCCGCTCCATTATTGTGCGTGTACCAATGTTCAACTCAGTGTTGGATGAATTAGTGTCAAAAACCAATCCCCAAACGTGTTCATTCAATTTCCAATCTTCAATAGCCTTTATACAAGCATCAACCTATTGCTCACTTGCATCTCGACCAATCTTTGGAACGCCCAGCAATTTTCCCATCCCATCACCAGTCATTTTAGTCAGAAATATTACCCCAATCAAGAGTTGATACAATATCTGATAAAAATCTTATCTTCTTTTTATTGAACCTGGAAGTGGAAGGAATCTGATTTCATCATCATCCGAGGAACTAGAGCTACTTGTACTCATGATGTCAACTGCTGATGAAGAAGGAACAAGTTCAGTTTTTTCTATCAGTTCGGCTTTACTGCTTTGACACCTCATTTCTATTTTAGTTTCTCGAAATCGTTTCTGTGCTTCCTAGCTGTTAAATTCCTACCAATTTCTGCCATACTACAACTTAATGGATCTTCTTGCTGTTGATGTAAGAATGATTTATCTTCATTGTTTTTTATAACTTCTGATGCATTCTTGGTTGATATATTCAATAGTTTTTCATGGTCAGCCTAAAAAATTTGTTCTTTCACTTGACAGCACTTGATAGCGTTTTTACAGCACCAGATAATTGTTATAAAATTTTGTATTATCAAATATTATTTTTTTTTGCATTATCAATTCTTTGAGTTGGTATTCTTCCTCTCTCCCATATAACAAGAACTGCTTCAATTGTTGCACAAATACTTTCACTTCTTTTTTCTCTACTAAATAGTTGAAAAGCACCCTTTGAGGAACAGTTAATTAGTACTTTAATATTCTTGGAATATAATTACTAACATTTGGTAAATTTATCTTTTAAAATATGGTAACCCTTAAAATTGCTTTTATTAGTCTAATTTTTGGTACACATGATCCTAGGTGATAAAGGAACACAGGCAACCTTGAAGAAAATGTTTTTTGTATTATTAATTGTTTTCTATTACAGTATGAATCATCCAAATGTGTGTGTGTGTATAATTTGCTGCTGATAAGGTTTTTTCTCAATTTCTTTAAGTTTAAACAAACAAGGTTGAATAGACATTTAAGTAGAAATTGAACTAAAATTTTTTTATAAGTTTTTAAACACAATCAAATTTTAAAAGTTTAAACACAATTAATCATAATTTTAATGCTAAAAAAGAAGTAAACAAATTGTTATTTTTGTGCATTTTATAACAAAAAGTTTTAACACACAAAGTTGGCCAGTGTAATAGTTTTTTTTTTAAATCTGATTGTGATGGAAAACACAGTCAAGATTTTCTTGAGGTGGAGAGATTTGATGAAACATTCAGTGTTTTTTGGAAACCCTTTGCTTCAAAAAACCAAACTTATAAGAATTTTAAAGAAAAATCAAGTGAAAAAAAAGTATAAAAAAGTATATATAAACAAAAATGTAGTTATACTTTTATTTCTATTGACTGCCAGTATATGTATGTATTCTTGGCATTTTGAAAAAACTTGAGAAAAAAAGCATAGCATATGTTAGCATAACAGATATTATGTACAATAACAGGTTTAAAAAATATATTGAATCAATTTGCAAGCATTTTTTTTTGAAAATTGTGAAAAACATTTAATAATTTTTTTAATATAACTCAAAAAAAAATTGGGCTATTTTCGTTATATTTATTATACTCATATTTTTGTTATTGTTTAATCTTTTTTTTATTTTAATGTAAATTGTATATCTATATAATCAGTATATTTAATGTTGAGATGATGGCTATAAAAAAATTTATATTAAAAAGGTTTTATTTTTTTAAAGGCTGATGTTTGGAGTCTTGGTATAACACTGATTGAACTTGCTGAAATGCAGCCACCAAATCATTCTATGCATCCAATGAGAGTATTGTTTAAAATATCCAAGTCTGATCCACCATCACTTCAAGACAAAAGAAAATGGTGTTTGTTTTATTTTAAAAGTTTTATTTTATTTCATTTTACAATTTAATTTTCAATTTAAATCACAATTTTTATAGGTCTGCTGATTTTCATAACTTTGTTGCTGATTGCTTAAACAAAGATCCTAATTGCCGTCCTTCTATGGCTGAATTACTAGAGGTTTGAAATTAAAGTTTCTATGCCTAAATTACTTGAGCATGCACTCTACAACTATTGTGTTGCTAGCACTCTACAACTGTTGTGTTGCTAATCTTGCATAGTTTAGGTTTGCTTAAGGTTCTGCAATTAAAATAAAGTTCAACAAAAGGAAACAAAAATAGTTTTGTTAAATAAAAGATTAAATAAAAAAATATGTGAAACTATTTAAAATATTTAGATTTTTTATTATATATAAGTTAATTATTATATATAGACTTCTTTTTTAATATTATTTTCTTAATATAACTTCAAAAATATTTAATTTTTAGAAATTAATTTTAACAAACTGTCATTTATCTTATAAAAAAAGTTCTTATAAAAAGTACTAGACTAAATGTGATGAGTTTATTATATTTTTTTGTTGTTGTTGTTAAAACCCATCGTCAGCCCTTGAAGTGTAAAACTCGAGTATTGATGAACAAGATTGCTGCACAGAGAAACAAGTCGACCAATGTAATACCAGGAACATGGTAGGCATTGAACTTGGAACTTCTAGTTTACAAAATGAGAGTTCTACCACTATTAAATAGTGGTAATCAATTAACTTGTCAATTTTTTACCTAATAGTTGAACTTAAACCTAAGAAAATTTTTTTAGTACTTGACAGCTACTTTAAATTAGTATTAAAGTGGCCATTGAAATTTGCTTTTCTTAGTATTTTTCACACACACTCAAGATAAAGTATTGGTCAGAAATATAGCATGTGATGTACTGCACTTAAGCAATAATGATATAGTGTTTACTTTGACCACTACACCCTAGTTTGTGCCATGCACAACCTATTTTTCTTCTCAGCATCTTTGCTTATTAAGGTTTTTCAGAGTAATATGATTAAGAGAGGGTAGTAACAACTTAATACTTAGCCTTGATGAGGTGAAGATATATATATATATATATATATATATATATATATATATATATATATATATATATATATATATATATATATATATATATATATATATATATATATATATATATATATATATATATATATGTATATATGTCACCCACAAACCAAAAGTCTGAATTTATCATATATATGCGTATGGATAAAATTTCAAACAATTGTTATTTTTTTAATTCTAGTTTTTTTAACTGGAGAGTCATTATGTAGTTTTAAAGCATTTAGCAATTTATGTTACATAATAACACTATAAATTACAATTAAATATAAAATTACAAGTTTAAATAACAATTCTACAAGTACAAGAAGCTATTGTATATATTGAAAAAATGTTGCGTAGTATTAAGGATAATTAAAGCGTAATATACAATTCTTATGTTTTGTTAGACAAAATAAATCTAAGCTGGATATTATCTTTCTTTTTACAGATGTCAAAAAGATCTAGAAGACACTTGATTGCTTGTTCTGCACACTGATTTGTTCTGGGAATTTCTAGTCTCAATGGTTCTTGATTCCAAAACTTTTTCACTGAGTTTAATGCTTTTTTGTGACTGCAAACTGTTTTATATCTTCCAATAATCATCTGCATTGTACATTTGGTCAGTAAACTAATGATCCACCCATCTGTAAGGAATGAATCTACAAATGATGAGTAGTGAGTCTCTTCTCTCTGGTAGAAGAATAAATGCGAAAAGAGCTAGTATTGCTTGGGAATTCTATCTTGCTTTATTTAATTTAGGTATTTTCTGAAACTTCACTTTAGGAAATACTTCAGATTCTTCTAAAAAGCAGAATACCAGAGTTAAATGAAATAGAAATTTCAAATCATCATGCCATCCTGCTGTTTCAGTAATTACTTCTTTACCATTCTTAAAATTTTTTCTGAGCAGTTTGTTGTTCTTTACAAGTCCCAGGAAAAATGGGTGTTCCATATCGGGCAACATGTTGCTTTCTCCAAGTACTTCATCCATTACTACGTGAAGGACTTAATCGAGAACAAGGTGTTGATAACTAATGAAATGTGGTTCTTCTTCCAGTTTCTTTTCAGTAAAACATCTTTATAACTGACTAACAATCTCATTTCTTCTTCCACTGTTTATATTTGCAGTGTCCACTACAATTATCTTTATACTCTTTCATAAATTTTATTCATCGAGAATAGTTGTTATACTTTTAATAACAGTATCTGTTTTTCCATTTATCTAGTGCTTATAGCTTAACTTCACTTTTTTTATTCTTCAACACATTGGATATGCTTGGTGATTATTACATTTACCATTAAACCAGCTTTCTAAATGTAGTGTTTTCTTCATTTCTTCTTTAAGTTTAACAGCTTTTTTAATAGTTGATCTAAATATACCAATCTGTTAGAGTGTCTGAATGTTGATCTCATCTTGAGATAACTGTTGACAAATGGTTACTGCTTTAATGGTTGATAATTTTAAAGATGTTACTTATTTGATAAAAGTTTCGGTTTTGGTGTAGTTCTAACTGGTACTTGTGAGCTAGTTCTTCTGTTCTTCATATTTAGACTCTTAATACTCAGACTCAGATTCAGAAGTTGTTGTTCTTGCTGGCCTGTTCTTTGTTTTCAATCTGAAGATGATACAATCTTTTGTCCTTGCTGCTAAGCTATTTACCATCTTTTTTTATGATGTCAAAAAATTCATTAAATGGATTGTATTTTCTTTTTTTTTTACACATTTATCTTACATATTTATCACTAGATACAGTTTTGATTGTACAACGTCAATTGATAAGTGTGGAAATTTTTTTTTTTTGCCATAAACTTGTTATTTTTTTTTCAATTTACTTTATGCATTCTTATCTCCTTTTAATGGATTTTCCCAGGAACTGATAATGACCAATAATTTCCCAGGAACAGATAGTGACCAATAATTTGGATTTTGAGTGGTATCCTTTATTTTAAAAATTCATGTTTTGGTAGACACTCCACTTCCTTAAACTCTTTGATAACCAGATTCTTTTTCAGCACATTTAATTTTCTTGTAAATAGTACTTTTAGGTATATTCTTGTAAATAGTACTTTTAGGTATATTCTTGTAAATAGTACCTTTAGGTATATTCTTGTAAATAGTACCTTTAGGTATATTCTTGTAAATAGTACTTTTAGGTATATTCTTGTAAATAGTACTTTTAGGTATATTCTTGTAAATAGTACTTTTAGGTATATTCTTGTAAATAGTACTTTTAGGTATATTCTTGTAAATAGTACTTTTAGGTTTATTCTCATTTTTATAGTGATCATAAGTAAACCTTTTACTAACATTACTATAATTTAAATAAAATTCATGCACATGTTTTCAAATCTCTTGTTTTGAATTTATTTTTTTATTCATGTTTCTATAAAAATAAAATATATTATAAATATTAAATTAAAAAAATAAATTAAAAATATTCTATAAAAAACACATAAAATATTTAAAAACTAAAATAAATGTATTTTAAAACACCTAATGGATTTTTTGAATATTGGTAGCATAATTTTATATGAATAAGTTTGTTTTTTGCGCTTAATTTAAAAATACCTCGGATTAGATTATTGTTAATTAATGGTATCTTTTGAGTGTAATTTTTTTAGGGATAAATTTTTTTGCAACGCCATAATTGGACATAATGTCTTCAAATCCAGTCTCGTTTTTCAGTTGTTATCTTTTAATTAAAACAAAAACATTAAAATAAACATTTTATTTAAGTTCTAAATTAAAATAATTAAAATAAAAACAGCAAAAATAAAACAAAAAAGTAAATTATTTAAATTCTAAATAAAATAACTGCATTGAAAATGGCAAAATGAGTTTTATTTAAATTCTAAATAAATTAATTCATACATAAAAGGGTTCAACGATTTTTTTTGTAAAAGTATTTGATAAAAAAAAAGTTAATTGCTATAAAAAAAACGCTTTTGTTTTTTTGGCAAGCGCTTTTTTATGGGCTTGTATTTTTTTTAAAGCATCCATTCATCAGAGATACCAGAGATGTTCAACCTTGTATTGATTTGTATCGAGAGGTAAAGGCTGAAGTACTTGAAACTTTTGAAGACTTGCCTGAAGACTCTGAGGTTAATTTTTTTAATGTTTTTTTTTTTTTTATTATTATTATCAAATTTTTTTATAATCTAAAAATAAAATCTTTAGTCTTTTTGTTTGTTTATTTGTTTAAAATTAAATAATTTTAAATCATTAATTAAATAATTAAATCATTAATATTTTTTATTTATCATTCTCAATCTTGATTGTCCTTTATCTTTTTGTTTGTTAAGAATGCTATATAAAATCATTATACAATTTTTATCATTCTCAATCTTGATTATCCTTAATCTTTTTGTTTGTTAAGAATGCTTTATAAAATTCAGGTTTTTCCTTTAAGTTTTTTTTATATTTAGATTGATTCCTTAACATCTAAATCTGTCATGAAAAAATCCTTATCTAGTGATACAATTGATAGTGACAGCTCTTCTAGTCTAAGAGATTCATCAACAACGTCACCTGGTATACCCCCCATGCCTATCCGTAAAATGAAAGATTTATCTGAAGTATCTGATAATAAGCTTATTTTTCAAAAAAGTTATGAAGACAAAAATGAGAAAAAGCTAGAACTTACAGGATTTAAGGTGACTGATGATGATTCTATTAAGCATAGCGAACCTGTTTTAACCAAGGAAGAGCTTAAAAATCGAGAGCTCGAAAAGGTTAAGCAAGCTTATGCACAGAAATCTGTAGAAAGTGATGGCGATAAGTTTATATTTTATGATGATGCAATGGATAATTTTGCTGATTCAGATCTTTCTTTGCAAAATGAAAACTCTTTTAAAAAATCAATGGATGATAAAAAGATTCAAAGTGGACAGTTGTCAGCTCTGGCGAAAGAATTAGACATTGTTGGAGAAGAAGATATTCTTCCTTTGGTATTTAATTTCTAAATTTTAATTTTTGTATTTTTTATTTGTTTATAGTTTAATTTCTTTAGAGCTCAAGTGAGGATAACAAAGGACAAAAAGTAAAAGCCTATATTACTTTTGTTGAGTCACAACAAAGCAATTTTTTTATACATAATTAAGTAAAATTTTAAATTTTTAAAAGTAAAAATTTTTGAATTATTTAAGTTGCTTCAAATAGCTTAAATGTATATCTCTAGATTTTAAATGTTGAAAAATTGAAAACAAAATAAATTTTTCTTACAAATGTGAAATGATTGGTAAAAATTAAAAAAATTTTATTTTAGGTGTAAATTGAAATGATAAATTTTTTTTAAAGTAAATATTCCGTGCCAATATAAGTTCCTTCATCAGGAGTGAAAATGTTTAAAAAAAAAAGTTTTTCTTGTCTAACCTTACTAACATTTTTAGCAATCCAAAAATTTTAAAGGTTTTCATAGAGTTCCATTGTCATCTATGGTTCTTTTATTTTTTAGTTTAAATTATTTTTACTTATTTAAATCTTACATAATTTAGGCAAAAAATGCAGGTAACTCATACAAGACATTGACACGTGTGAGGCGATTTGAAAAGGATGGACAGGTTGTTGAGGAAAAAGTACAGAGAATTGTAGATATATCTGGGGAAGATTTTCGTGCTGCTGCAAAGAAAGAACAACAATTAAGGTAAAAGTTACTTAAACTAAAGTAGTTTAAAGTAATTTGATAATTTAAATTATCTTTGAAAATTCATATAATTATATATATCAGGGCTCAAATTAAGCGTATTGCGATCACGATTGCTTTTCACACCATCGCGATTAGTTTTTTCTTTAAAAAAATATTTTAGTAATTTTTATTTTTATTTTTTGGTTGTTTATTTTTTTCTAATTTAGCATTTTTTTTTTGGCAATTCTTAAAAGTAATGATTAAAAAGTTTTTTTTATTAGGGTTCATAACTTACGTCACGTAAATTTATCTTTTGAATTGAAGCATGATCTTTTGCTCTTGCGCGGAGATTTTTATTCAATGTAAAGCAGTTTTAAATTTAAATAACTTTAAATCTCTGCGTGGAAGCCAATAATATTTTAAAAGGTTATTAAAGCAAAAAGTTTAAAAGGAAAAAGACATTAAAGCGAACTTTTTCTTCATTTTTTTTTTTATAAAAAAACAGCCTAGTTTTTATCTTTGTTTTTAAAATATTGTACCAAATTAACTTACTATTTATAATTTAAATTATTGTTTTATCAACAATTTTATATTATTAATTTAACTTTAAGTATATTAAAATATATATTAAATTCATTTTTATTAAATTTTTTTTCCAATAGTTAATCAATGCTAACAGAAACCAGCAACTTTTTTGCTTCACTTTAATGACCCTGAACCTTTTTAACTTTTTTTTTCAAGTTTTTTTAACTTTGATTTACTGAATGGATAAAATACTTCACATTAAATTTACTTATAAACTGAATAAAAAAAAACAGTTAAGTTACTACAGTAACTTAAATATTAACTTATTTTAATTTACTTAACCCTATATGGTACACATTAAGAAAAAAATTACTAAAAAATGTTTCCTTCAGTATTTACATCTTATATGGGATATAAATTAATGTAATAAATTTTGTTTTTGTTTAAAATTTCAAAATAATGCTTTTGTAGCTATGTTGCCAATCGGCAACAATGCGCAACTGAGGGTAAAAATGTTTTAATGTTGCCAAATGGCAACAAACCTATTGGACAGACAAACAAATAAAAACTAGTAAACGCAATGCATAAACAAACAAATGGTAGACAAAATGCATAATCAAACAAATGATTGACACAATGAATAAACAAATTATTTGCAGAAAGATATTTTAATTGCAGAACAATATATTAATTCATATCAAAATTTAATATTAAAGAGGAAAACAACATTTTATTTTCATGGCTGATAAAAACTTTTGTAGCAATTTGATTTATGAGTGAGGCACAAATGGACATTACATTTCTCACATTTTGTTCGAGAAAAACCTTTGCAGCCAGGCAATTTACACCTGCCTTTTTCAGATACTTGTATTGGAAAATGTCCCACATTGTCTGTGCGGATTGAGAAGTTTGGAACAACAGCCGCAGGGCCCTTTTGCTTTTTGCACTGCAGTTGTGGCTCAACTTCCAAAGAAGGTCGACCCCTATTCTTTGCCACCATAGTTTTATTCTGTCTCATTAAGAAAAGAGCAATGTTAATTTTGAATTGAAGCAGTGGCAATTTAGCTGATGGTGGTAGACCTGATTTAGAAAAATCAAAAGCATACAGAAGCCACCCTTGAACTACAGCCAAATCGAAGATATGAAAAGTGATTCGGTGGTACCACTTTTTGGATCTGATGTGGTTTCTATATAATGCCACCAGGGAATCCAACAGGTCCACACCACCCATAAAGGCGTTGTACAGAATAATGATGGAAGGGCAGTCCACCTCAATATCTTTCTTCTCTTTCTTGTCCCATTTTCTGACCTTTTTTACTGGCTCTACTGCAGCAAAGGTACTAAGAAGAGTCACAGCTTTGTTGTCCATCCACCTGACAGCATTCAGCTGCACACCATCAAAAACTCCGGTTTTCAGTACAACAGAACCTTTTCCTTTTTTTGATAGCTCTTTGTCTGGAGGAAACGTGCAGCCTTTTAAACGATTGGGACGGACAGTTCCCACGCTCGCTATTCCTTCTTTCCATAATAGCACTTGGAGGGGAATAGAAGTGAACCAATTATAGATAAATGCCTGATGCCAGCAATGTCTAGGAACATCTTGCATAAGTCTAAGAACTATATTGCCTGATGCACCCAGATCAGGTTTTCCAGGGCAAGGTTGGATTTGGCTGACATAGAACTCAAAATTGTGAATGAGGCCAGTGCTACCCGAGCACACAAAAACTTTGTATCCCCACTTCTTTGGCTTTTTAGGATTATATTGTTTAAGTGATGATTTTCTTTTGAAAGGTATTATTTGTTCATCAACACTCATCATTTTTGATTTTTGAATGCTGTTGACGCTGGCCTTGAAAACATCTAAAAGTGGTTTGACCTTATGGAGTTTATCTCCATTGTTGTTTTCATTATTTGAAAAATGCAAAAACCTTTTGATTTCTTCAAATCATTTTTGGCTCATAGTGTCAGCCACGAGATGAACTCTTGTATCAGGGCTACAGTACAATCTGGAGCATGGTAGACGATCTACACTCATATAAAAGATAATCCCTAGAAACTGTTCTAGCTTGTCCATTGTAATATTGGCAGGTTTATTAATGTCCTGCTAAGCTGTACTGGTTAGATTCTGTGATGATGTTCTCAAAAGTTCCTTTGGTAAATATTTCCCTGAAGTATTCAATTGGCTCACACAAGAGCCCAGGTTCTCTCTCTGTCCCAATGAAATTTGGTATATCTGAGGACCGATCAGCATGATCAGTTCTTTCTCGCCAAATATGAGGCCTTGAGCTGTTGGCTAATGGTTGGCTGCTGGCTGGAGCATCATCTTCGGCATCACCATCATCTACAAAAATCTAAATTCATAAAACATTTGAAAATGCTACCCAAAAAAAAAAATAACAGTGTTGAGACTAGTGCTTCTTATACTATAGGCCTAAACACGAGATTTTATGGTAATTAGATGGGAAAATTAAATCTAACCATCAGAGTTTGAGCTATCAGAACTTGACAAGTTGTGATCCTCTTCAACTTCATCTTCCTCACAAGATAGCTCACTGTCTTCTGAATCTTCGGGTAGTTCTCTGATGATAATGTTTTTCTTAGACTTTCCGTAGAACGTGACAGGATCCATTTTTATTCTATTATAATACCTATAAAAAAAAGTAAATTTTTTTTTAAATTACATCTACAAGAAAAATATAAACAGATCAATGGGGATTCGGCTTAGGCTTGGTTGACATATTTTTACAATGTAGACCTAAGCCTAAGCTTTTACATGCCCCAACTTATAACCTACTTTATTACTAAAAATTGACTAAATTGTATTTCTAATTAAATTTATTTTCAGAAACTTTGTGTCAAAGTTACCACATATCATAAATTAAATTATATTCTGATAAAATAAATGATACAAAAATAAAAAATTAAAAGGACCCAATCAATAGGTCTATAAAAAGTTGAGGTGCTATATCTTCGAAAAAAGTACCCTCCTGTTGCGCATTGTTGCCTTTTGGCTACACAGCATTTAAACCGTATATTTCAAAATAATATGTGTAAAAGTAGTGTATTATAACGTATAAATATATTTGAAGATATCATAACAATGATAATATTTTTTTTAATGCAAATTTTGATCAAATAAATATATAAAATATGTTTATAAACCGATCTTTTACAAATGATAGACACAAGGCGCCGTGCTGCTGATTCGTGAAATACAACACGTTGCTAAAAAAATGTACGCAAAAAGTTGTGACGTCAAATGCAAGAAAAGATGATAAATTGAAGGGAAATCACTAAAGAATTAATGATATAACAAAATAATAGTAGTTGTCTGTTCATTACTAGTGCGTTGCCATTTGGCTACACTGTGCCATATAGGGTTAATATTCTCAAAGACTCACAAAAGTTAGCCATAAAAATGTTTCTATTTATTTTATATGTTTTTAACACATAGTATAAGCTTCTAAAAAAATAATTTTTTTAACAAGAAATGTCGAACGAATATGAAAAACGCTATACGCAATATATTTTTATATTTAATTTTTATTTAAAATGATCTTAAGATTAAATATTTTCTATAAATATGCAAGTTGTTTTTAGAAATTTATTTTCTATAAATATGCAAGTTGTTTTTAGAAATTTATTTTCTATAAATATGCAAGTTGTTTTTAGGAATTTATTTGAACAAAAGAATTCTTCTAATAAAAGTCTTCTAAAATTCTCTCATTCAAATATTTTTGCGATTAAAAATTTAAATTTAAAAAATTTAAATTAAAAAATTTTTTTTTTTACTTTAGTTCAACGAAATTTTTTTACAAATAAATAATTTAAGCATATACTTAAACTTTACAAAATTTAAATTAATTTATTAACCCAAATTCTCACTTTTTATTACAAAACAATTTAAACGAAAAAACTGAACAAAAAAGTTAACTTATATAAATAAGTTAACTTTTTTGTTCAGTTTTAAAAATTTAAGTATAAAACTATTAAAAATTTAAGTATAAACTTAAATTTTTGATAGTTTTATACTTAAATATTTAATAGTATTATACTTAAATTTTTAATAGTAATAGCAATAAATTATAAAAAGCATGGTATCTAATGTTTTTTTGCTTTGACATTTTTAATTAAACTTTTTTTTTTTAATTAAACATTTCTATTTATTTTATTTATTTTATTTTAAATGCGTTTTTGTTATTAATGTTATAAAATTTAACTTATAAAACAGCAACATGAACATTGTCACTAAGTTAATTTATATTAGCACAAGCTCTTTATATAATATAAAGAACTTGTGTAAATATATAACAAATTAAATAATTGAATTTAACATTACTTGTTAAAAAATGTTTGATATTTTTTTTTTTTTTATGACATAATAATTGTATAAATGAATTAAAATATGTTTAAACTTAAATTTTTTTGATCAGAATTAAATTTTATATTTATTAAATCAAAATTAAATTTTATATTTCTTAAATCAAAATTAA